CTTATTCGTTTTTCTTTTGTTAATTTGTTTCTTATTTAACCCTTTTCTTTTAACACGGGCCAAAGCGACGGCTATGATTAGATCTAAAGATGTGCCCTTCAGATGAGTATATTCGAATTGCCATATTTCAAACTTCATCTGGTCATTTCACACCGTGAAGTTTTCATATGTTTTAAATACCTAAATTGATATGAAAGCGTCAGAACTAGTACGACCGGTTGATACCGTTAACCAGTGCCTGTCATTTGAAAAATAGGTCATAAAAATTCCTAGTGGGGAAGTTTATATCGCCATTGGATTGTTGAGATGGGAAGTTATTTCGTTATTTTTTCAGGAAATGGTAAGAAGTGTTTCTGTGGAATATTTGCACATTCTGTCAGTTAGTCACTAGAAAAATCTGTACCGTATTGTGAAGTTTAAATGTTTTGCTCCAGTTGCTAAATACTGCATTCGTGGCATTTCAAAATTAGCGTTACTTCGCAACGTGTGTTGAATGTAATTACTGGGTATTTCAGTTCAAGAACATGGGCGACCCAGCGGAAACGGAAACTACTACTTTTCTGTCAGACGAAGCGCTTCAGGTTGCCATAAGCTCTCAAGATATAACCGCCGTGCAAAAGTTATTCGACGAATCTACGGAGAAGTAGCGCTGTCAGGGCGTCGTTTCTACAAACTGCGTACAAGTTCTGTTTTAGAGAGGCCGATAAAAGATTGATTGTTGATCAGTACTTCCGGTCAGTTCTCACCCATGAATTTGTGAGGTTTCTTTACTAACACCTTTTTCATGCATTTAACCAGTCGCATTTTAGCTGCAAAAGAAAAGCACGGACGAAACGCTGAAGTTTGTTAACTTTTCGATCGACGTTGCTACTGCAGGTAGAAATGTAGCATGTTTTTTAAATAAATGTTAACAGTTTATTTTCCATCTTTTGAAAAAGGCAGTATTTTTGTGCGTTACAGATTTTTTTTTATGTTTCGGTTCCCGATACAATTCAGAGGCAAGCATTACGTTGTGAGCAAGCACAGCATTGTTTACAGTATTATTTGCAGATCTTTGTGCCGGAAGCCGAAACTTCGGAGTGAAGGTTAAAACTGTATCACACCTAAAGTTCTTGCTTTATTGACAAGGTCATTAATTCAAACTATGTTTACGAGTATTGAAAATGAAATTCCGCATGTATAAAAGCGCAGATTTTTGACGGAATTGTTCGAAATCGACATCTGTTCCGCTGTTGCACTGGTAAGCAGCTGCGCTACTTTCGGATCTAGTTCGACATATTTTCCAGGACCATACATTGTTTCTTTCGAAAGGCGATATCCATGTTGTTAGAGCTTTGGCCATAAATTGTTGTTGTTAAACGCACAGGGTTACTGTCACATTGCAGGACAAGTACAGTCTCAATCTTGCGGCATTACGGTACTTCATTTGACCTCTGACCATGTTGGAGAATATGTGCAGTGACACTGAATGTGCTGTCAAAACGGAAAGTGATCTCTCTGACTGGTTTGAAGTCAGAAATAACGTCAGACAAGGCGACGTCCATTCACCAATGCTCTTCGGTCTCGTCATAGACTGGGTGATGAGGCAAAGCTCTGACTATCTTAATGGAGAAAGACTGACGTAAAGCGGAGTACGAACTTGAGATGCCTTGCCATACACCTCACGGATCTCGATTACGCTGATAAAATCATACAGATAAGCGATTGCAGTGGTGGATTACGACTACCAGCCAAAGAGGCTTCGGCCATAGCTTAAGGAGCGGGCCTTAGACTCAATCGCAGTAATTAAGAAATCAGAAGGAACAGGTGAAATTGATCTCTATTCTCATAGAGAAAGATTGGACAGAATGGACCACTACAGATATCTTGGCTCTCTAGTTACGAACGACAGCGGCTAGGCATAACCGAATGGCGTTTTAGCAGCGGCCGCATTCGGATGCTTAAAGAAGATCTCATGTCATCAGAACTCCTGTTGGTAACGGAAACGAAGATCTTCGCTTTTCGATCTTATTGTATGACTTGGAAACGGCGAGCTTACGAAAAGCACATGAACGTCGTCTAAGCGCTTTCCAAAAACGTTGTCTACGCCACTCTGCCAAGGTTCGATAGATACAACGAGTAACGAACCAAAGGAACGACAGAAAATGTCCTAAACGTTACAAATACGACATCTTATACATAAGAACTATACATCAGTCGCTTAGAAAATCTTACTATCCAAACATACGCATACGCTCTGGCGGCCAACATCATATTTGGAAGGACATACTCAGGACAGACTTGCAATTATTTTGGAGCATGTTCTTCGCGAATGCTGTAGGACATGCCCCCAAAATTACAACTCCGCCCACCGTCCATCCGACATCATTTGATTAAGCATTACGGTCATGTCATGGGACTTAATCGGCGATGATACATATATGCTCACACGTGTGCAGTTCTCATGTATGAGTTTCCTATCCAAAAACCGAGAAGCAATGATAAGGCTTTTAACTGCAAACAGTCACTTAGTTTAGCCAGTTTATTAGTCAGTCATCATTCATACAGTCCGTTATTTTTCAGGCGTTTATTCAGTCATTCGTTCAATCAGTCAGACACTTTGTGTCTTCCGATTCCGCCTGTAGTACATCCTTTCGGATCATAGGATAGCAACGTCGAACAATGTTGCGGGCGTTATAATCTTATATCAGTGTCTGAGCATCAGCTGATGAGATTCCAAATTTGGAGCGTCGGTCAAATTCTTCTGAACAGATATGCGATTTACGACTTTCTGGTTCCATGTTTATTGGTTTTTCCGCACGATCTTGCTTGATTTGCTATATTGGCAGCGCGCTATCCCCCCTCTATTTTAACGGGATAGCAGCTCAGTTGCAGGAAGGTGCCATGTCAGCCATGGTAGACCCGTTATTCTGCACTCATTACCCACCCCATATCCAATATGCAACAGGACGTTAAGCAGATCTTGGTAGCAAGCTTTTATAGCCTTCAGCCGCACAATAATCTATGTGATTGTATTAAACTAGTGCAAAAAACTGATCTGTTATGGCGAGGCTTTTTGGTTATGCAAGGTTTAGTAAAGGTGACTAATTTTTTGGAAACTTAGTCACAGTATCAAATCATCCTCATTTCTCAGTCAGACTTGAGGTAGGCTGTTGGCTGAATTCTTTAATAAGGTCTCTCTATAGATTTAGTAAGATATCATTTCTTACGCTGAAGTGACTGAAGTTCTCAGCTTTTTCAAAACGAGCGTTAACTACATATTGTACCCCTCCTTGCTGTTAAATATTTAGGAGGCTATTTAATCATACTGCAGCCCAGTGGTATTTCAGAAGCTGCCATTCATGGGTAAATCTCATCTAATTTTATTGACTAGAAACCTTGTAAAGCTCCAGCCAGGTTTCAAGGCTCGATGTTTCTTTTATGCTTTTGAAGACCAAGGTGTTGGTCTTGCTTTCGACAGAACTATGGTTAACTTTAAGCTGTTACCCCCTTTCGTGCGCTAAATCTGCCTTGTACGGAATATGGGGTTTCTGTGCTTTATGTGCAACAGACTACTGAGTATCTGGCTGTTTCCAGCTTTATTTAGGGTATACCAAATCAGCATTGTTACGGCGCTTTCAGGGCATAGAATTATGATTAATAACGTTATTCTGGAAACGTTATTTTGTTTTTAACTGTTATGGCAACGTTCTTGCATGTTATGCGTAAGTGCGACCATGCAGTGTCGTGTACTGTGCTATGCCGTTATTTCCAAGCAAATTTTTTGGATTGCTCTTAACTTTGTAACAATGTATGTTTGTTCGCTTTAGTACAGAGCGTTGTGCTAAATTTTGGTGCGGTCGCATGTGAGTCCGTAGTTTTGCTGTCGAGTGAGTCGTCACGTAGATCAGTTGACTTTAGATTTCTGCTCGAAATACACGCCTGTCACTCTTCTTTCGGACATCTTTGACTGCTCGGTCATTATGGAGTGCGAAAAAATTTTCGACTTCGTGGAACAACACGTGCGGCTGTGGGAAGTGGTACGTTTTGCAATCGGTTTAGTTTTGCAGGTTGAAGGCAGATTTTAGAACGAGGGCTTTGACGTGTGTCGCAACCACCTGCTGCGGATGTGCAACGACCTGCTGCGTCGACTGTCGCGGACGATCAACACTGAATTCTGTGGCCGCATTCTCGTGTTCTTGGCCAAGTGCCTGCCGCTCATGGAAAAATCAGGTACGCAACGAACGAACCCTCATGAACCCGCTTCGTTCATGCCTTCCATTGCCGTCCATCGTCATCACCATCATCGTTTACGTGTAAGCCGTTCTTTTCGAAAGTCAATTTTCCAGGATTGAACTTGACCAGCCAGTTCAACATCGACAACGTCACTCGTTACGAAAGCGTGAAGGAAGGAGACACGAAGGAGGTAAGCGCGGACGACGCAGCTTTGATGAACGTCGAGGAAGGCGAAATGAGCGACAATGCCGGTGAACAGTAAGTTCGCGCGAGTGCAACACCTGTGTTTCTTGTTGTATTCAGCAGAATTCATTTGAAAGTACTCAGATACTAGTTAGTATTTCTAGCCTAGAAGTACACGGTCGTTTTCAGATCGGTTCGATTCCGCCTCGAGACTTCGTTTCGCGTGTACTTTGTAAAGTGTAAAATACATGTTTATTCAAAGCCAGAAAGCAAGCTTACATGAGAATTATCAGCAGTCTTCCTCAAAAGATTCA